AGTCCACGAACGTTAAATAAATACAATTAAAGCCTGTCTTCACATACAATTGGCAATAATGAACCCAAAGTAAGAGGGTTTTTGCTGTTTAGTCTGTTCACTTTCTTTAAGACCTCAAATAATGCAGCTGTCTGTCCATTTGGCTTCCTACTTTAAATCAAGTAGGAGCAGATTCAGAGTCCTTCTGGAGATGAACCTTCTAGGAAGGCTGAGCGGGCGGCAGGAAGGGGGGGCTCATTAGCCACACCCCTCCACCTGCCTGGCTTGATCCATTCTTCAAAAGGGCTCCAGCATCCTGCCTCGGTTTCGTTCAAAGGGCCAGATCATCAACTCTATGATTCTCTTCCGGTACTCAGGTTTTTCTGTTCTTTATCTAATAAATGACCCTCTGCTTGTTCAGGAAAAACAGAACCAACCTTTTCTGAAATTATGTGAATGTTTCTTCAGAAATATCAACTTTGGTTGATCTCAATAATGATTATTTACTAAAAGTTCACCTACATTAGCTATTAATCTCAGAGCCTTAATCCGCGTTCCAATCTGGAGGACAACGATCCTTTTCTGTGGTAGAATGCATAGCAATTCCTATGTGAGTGGAGAATTCCTGGACAGGTGTCATCTGGACCTGGGCCCTATTACACTCTACCTGGTAAGAAGAAGAAATGCAATGGACTGCCTCCACCATCCAAACAACACAAGTACGGATCACCGTTTGCAGGGATTCTTAGAAAAGAGGGGCCTCGGCTGCGAGGGCCCCACGAGATCTGGGGAATTACTGGCTCACCCCAATGTATCTGTGCCATGCAAGACCCTGCCCGCCCTAAGAGAGTCCAGCACGGGCAGGAAACACCCTTTGATCACAGATAAACAGCTTTCTCCACTATGCATTTCTAATCAGTGCTGAGCTTTGAAATCAAGCCAGAAATAATCCGAGCAGAACTGGACTCATTCCTGGAAGACTCCCTGTTTCAGCTCAGAACAGTAGGTGAAAAAGCAAGACCAAAGGGGAAGTGGTCCTCCACTCCAGGGAAAGCAAAGAAGGAAGACTTTTGGAAGCAAAATTGCCCCACGCTTCTCCAAAGCCAGAGGGGATGTAACCACCACCCCTGGGGGGGGGGGCACCCCTTTCTACCCTGGGCCTCCACAAGCACTTTCTTGGACTAATCACAAAAAATGTGACACAATCAAACGGATTCTACGTAACAGAATTTGCATTAAATAAAAGCAAGATGACAGTTTATAGGATTAATTCGGGGAGGGGGGATTTAGCAATTAATTCCCCCTATAATTAACACAGCCCATTTGCAGGACCACAGACCCAGGGACTAGGTTGATCAAACCAGGGCAAAAAAGGCTAGCTGCATATGCAGACAATTCACAATTGAGCAGGGTGAAAGACGCAAGAGGCGCGCGCATGTGTGTGCCTGTCTGTGTGTCCCCATCCCATTGGCCTTCTGCTAGTCAGAATAAAGGCTCGTAGTATTAAGAAAGCAGCGGCGGCAGCTACATTTGTAGGTGACCCCTTTGTGGCTTCCCCCCTGGCACCCAAACAGGCCCCCCAGATGGCCACCAGAGCTAGTTCCTCTCCCAAGAGCTGTCCCGGGCCTTTCGCTAGGGGAGCCTTTGCTCGCCAGGGGAGCTTCCTCCGAACTGAAGCCTTGGGTTACCCTTGGGGATGGCCATTGGCAAGACCTTCCCCTCCCGTTCAATTCACGCCAGCAGGGCTCCCCCACCCCCCCAGGAGAAAGCCAAATAGCAACAGCAGAGAAGCTACACACACACACACACACACACACACACACACACACACACGCTCCCCAGCTGCTGGTCACATAAATCACACTGCCTGGGGATTTAGTGAGGAGAGCTCCAAGACCCTGAACAGCTGCTGAGACTATATTTCTTCTGGCCAGGCTCTCACTGAGAGGGCAGCTCTCCTGGCTTCCACACCAGATTTATTTATTTTATTTACCTATTTTATTACCTTTATAAGCCGCCCAATTCCATGACAACTCTGAGGAGGATGCCAAATACAAACTGTAAAGTGAAACAATTCTCCAAATAGAAAGCTGTGGCAGCACCACAGGCTTGGCTCCCTGGCGGCTCCGCTTTCTCCTCAAACACCCCCCCAGCCAATTCTCTAGTTGGGGCTTCCTCGGTGCAGATTGTTCATCACACGCATCTGGATTCTTCCAACCTTCCCTACCCAAAGGGGCACTTCTCGGCTGCACTGCTGGGCCGGCCTGAAGCTGGTTGAAGAGCAGAGAAGCTCTTGGGCCACAGCTGGCTCCAAATTCCTGGGCTGAATCCCCCCTTTCCTTCCCCACTTAAACTCCTGCCCAAATTTGTGGGAAAGGATCATAGAGGCGCTCGAGCCCTGGCCAGCCTCTTCCAAGGCCACACTCCTAGTTCTGAATAACCAGGTTTGGGCAGCCAACAGACCACAGGGAGGCTTTCCGGAGAAGGCAGCGTCAGCCCTTGCAATCCCTTAGGAAGGTAAGCCGACCAGGGGAGTCAAAAGAAGTAGCTCAGCCCCAAGAGACCAAGGGAGGGCTCCTCTCCCAGGACCAGCGACCTGCCCTGTAGCAACCTGGATTTTATTCAGGTGCTTTAACATCTCCTTTTGTAGAATTGATTAGTGGCCTTTCTCCTTCAGCCCCCAAATGGACGGTTGGTAGCTTGTCAATCTTCTATTCAAAAGCCTGAGGTGAGCCAGGCAGGAGTAGAGAACAGCCACCAGTTTGGATAAACACGACTGAAAATCTTTACTGCCCGCAAATTGACAGGACAGGAATAGGTGGTGGGGCAAGGACCCCCCTCTTTCAGGTGGAGGAGGACAGTGGGGCCACAGACAGGGCCTGAAAAGGGCCTCTTACCCAGACCATGACCTACGCTGGCTGCTCAACTCGTGTGATATGGACAACGCACACAAGAGACCTGCTGGATTCATGAGCTGCAAAACACACACCCGCCCGATGGGGGGAATCCCCCTTTTGTTTTGGGAGCCACTCAGGAAGCAAAAGGTGAATCCTTTCCCTGAGAGGGCACAGGTTACCCAACTATCTTTATTCTGCTGCCTAAACCAGCAGAAGCCCCAGCAATGCCACTGCCAGACACCTCAGGCCTCATGAGAACCCAGGCCAAGCGAGGAGAGCCCGAAAGAGGCAGGATCACAGCTCTGCTCCCGAAGCAGAGGGCCGAGGAAGGAAGGAGGAGGCCCTCGACAGGCAGTTCCCAGGGGACACGGGGTCAAGTCCAGCGGCTCAAAGCTGTCCTGGAGACAAGCAAGGACAATGGGCAAGCAAGCCAGGAGGGCCCAGTCTGGAACTGCAACCCAGGAACTGGCACACACCAGCTATCTTCTCCCACCGCTGTCCCATTTTGGAGCTCCCAACAACAGGATTGTGACTCCAGATGGATCCCTGGGCCTTAAAGGGATCGCCACTGCTGATCACCACTGCTTAAAATCTAACAGGGCAGATCGGACCGCAAGCACCGGGCGGATCTCCAGCCCATCTCCAGCACTGCAATCTTACCACACCAAGAATTGTTTCAGGCAGTTGCACCTGAGCAACTTCCAGTGGGTGGGAAATGGTCAGGATTTGGGGATTTGGTCTATCCACAAAATAATTTTATAGATTTTCTCTTCTTTATTCAACATGAGTACGATGATTCATGCTGAAGTTACATCATTAATATTTGGTGTCTGTACTTTTATTTTGTCTTATTAGTGTGGAATAACAAAACCAACTTACAAAAAGCCCCAAGGCCAAAGCAAGGCAAACTGACCCAGCTTCCTTGGGAAAGGAGTCAAGAGTCCACTCCGGCCAGGAGAGCCCCCCCCGCCCCCCCCCCCCTTTTTCTTCCAGGGACAATGTGGTTAGAAGCAACGGGCTGGGGGGGAGGCAGCTCCCAGGGCTGTTCTCCTCACACTGGGCCTTTTCTGGGGCATTGCCAGCCCCTGCAGGCGGGATGGGCTACGTGGTGTGTTTCACGGCAGACCCTGCCTGTGTGGTACCCGGAAGCTAGGGAGCGGCAGGAAGTCAGGAGACTGACAGGGGTGGCCTGCTGCATCGTCCTGGCAGGCCTTGGGCTCCCTCCCCCCCCGGCCAGCGTCGGGAAGGGGTTTGCTACCTGATCACATCCACTGAGCTGCACTCTAAACGCAAGTGCCAGGCGAAGGCATCGGGTGAGCCGGAGGAGAGGAACATCCCGAGGGCCTCTGCCAAGGAGAGCAGGGCTGGCGCTGGGGCCAATGAACCCGCAGGTCCCACACCAGCCCAGTCTACTGCTACCCACACCCAGCAGGGCCGCCCCACAGAAACAAAAGGGGGAGTTGCATCCAGCGCCACCTCCTTGCACACGCCAAGATGCTGAAATGAACCAGCAGGTGAAACCTCTGCCGACACAAAGGAGGGGCTGCTGGGGACCCCTCACTCTGGCTCACAGAAGGACACCCACAGGCCCATCCCCCTCAGAGATTCCCACCATGGCTTCCAGAAGCTAGCCTGCCTGGGGGGGGGGGGGGGGGGGCTGAGCTCCAGAGCCAGAGCCGGCCTCCGGAGGGGAAGGGAGGAGAGCAGGAAGGGCTGGAAACCAGGAGTGCAGCAGCCCAAAGCCCAGGAGACGACGTGTCTGGGGAGCAAAGCTGCCGCTTAGATTTATCGCAGGCGGTGCCCAATTGTTCATACTAAAGCCATTACGGGATGATTAGAGAAAAAGGTGAAGCTCCGAGTCCAGGGAAAATCAATACAAACGTCTGCAGCAATTCTGCCACGCCAGTGAAAGGACTCTTTACTCCAAGCAGTGGGTGGGTGGGTGGGTGGGTGGGAAGCTGCAGCCAGACCCAGCAGATGAGGGAGAGGGTTGCCCTCCGATGGCCCTAATCGGCCTTGGGGGCAGCAAGGGCCTCAGCAGCGGGCAGGGGTGAGGAGGGACGCCTGCTGGGCTGGAGCCCAACCCCAGGAAGCACCTGCCCCGTGGGCCCCCTGCCGCCTCACCTTGTACAGCTTCAGGCTAGCCTCGTGCCTGGAATTGCCGGTGTGAAGGCGCAGCTTCTCCAGGCTGTTGGTGTAATAGTCACAGGCATTGCACTTCAAGTGCAACGGGTTCCCGATGGCCACGCACTTGAGGCGCCACTCGTTGGCCTTCCCACCCTCCCTGATGTGCGCCACCAGCTGGTACTTCTGCAGGTGCTTCTCGGTCTTGCAGTGCAGCTGGAAGTTGGCCTTGAGCTGCGTGCTATAATGGCACAACCGGCACTGGTAGGCCTCCCCCGTGGCCCCCTTCCACTCCTCCTCTGGCAGGGCCCGCTCCGCATTCAGGTGCAGCCCCAGGAGATCCAAGGCGTCGGTGGTGAACTTGTTGCACACAGCGCACTGGAACAGCTTCAGTGAGGGGTCGCTGGTCTGGGTGAAGGTCTCCTCCAGGTTCATGAGTTCCTCGGACACCAGCTGCCCTCCCCCGAGCTGTGGGTCCAGAGAGATCTCTTCCCCCACTGTGCAGAGAGAGAAGAACGGCAGTCAGAGAGGCTCCCCTGGCCAGCTTCCGGGGCGTGGCTGGGTAGCCCCCCACGTGGCTCTCCCACCACCCTGTAACCCACGAGCCCATGAGTGCATGCCTGCCCCACATGCCCAGCAGGTGCGCTCAGGAGCCGAGACCCTGCTGGCGTCAGTCGAACTGGGACAGGGTGATAGAATTCCCAAAGGGCACAAATAAAAGTGAAAGCAGACTAGCTGGAGTCATTTCAGAAATGCCAAGGAGCTACACCACCCTTTCAGACGAGTTAAGGTAACAGCAGAGAGAGTCTCACCGTCTCTTCTTGCGGTCCTCTTGGCCCCGGGTTGCCTGTTAGCATTCCACCCCACGGGGCTACTCAGCATCCCCTGTGGCCGTGGCCCACAAAACTCTGCCTCACACTACAGGATGCCTGTTGTTTTGTTCTGTGTGATCATGCTAGCATCCCCACACATCTTCAAGTCCAATTAACAGCATTGGTTTGCTACACAGTTTCTGTTTTGGTTTTTATTCTATTCTAACAAAGATCAGAGTAGATTAAACACACAATGAAGCACTTTGCAATTTTGTTCCTCAGATGCATTCTTATTGCTTTTTGGACAGGTATCAAGGCATCCATCCTCTCGATATTGCATAAATTAGAACTGTCATTCCCCAATTGTGGGAAATCATAGCTCTGCTACTGTCCACTGGTCAACCCCCCACCCCCCCACCCCTTGAGTGCTGGGTCCAGTTCTAGGTGCCAGCAGAACAATTCAAACCATTTCAAGGAGAGCAATGAGGACACTTAGGAGGAATTTCTAGAGCAAAGGTGAGGAACTGGGTATGCTCAGCCGTAGGAGAAAGTGCCGTAGTGCACATAGCGGCGTTTGCCAAACTCCAAGGGGACCCTGGCTCCTTCCACCCCACAGCAAAAGCAGGGAAGGCTGGTCTTAAGTCACAGGCAGACAAGTTGCGGCTGAACATTAGGTGAAAAATTTTGGCTAAGAGCGGTTTGAGAGCGGAGCACAGGGCTCAGGAGTACTTGGGCCGTTGCGGCGGCTTTCAGGGCCCCTTTCCCAGACTGGAGCCGGACCAACGCAGTGCGAGAGCCCAAGGCACCCCTGGGCTCTCCCCCACCCCCAGCCGGCCAGCTCCTTCTCCAGAGAGGAGGAGGGGAGGTTCTCCCCACAGCCTGAGCAGCTTCATCTTCGCAGCCCAGATTTCAGAACTGCCTGTCCACCTGTGGTACAACACAATTTGCCTAGGAAAATGGCACCGGTGGGTCTTTCCTGGACACTCGGTCTCTTCTGAAGCAGCAAAGTCTCTTAATCTAGAAGTTTCAATAAAAGTCCTTGCCACAAGGGCAAACGTGCTCTTTTTCTAGCCGCGAAATGAAAGAAGTCTTTAATTTGGGAACCTCTTCCACTCAAGTCTACCGAACGCACTTGAAGCAAGTGCATCTCAAGCTAGATTTCCAGCCTTCCCTGGACCAGTCGTCCTGCTTAATTACGACGTTAAAATGCAGGAATTGCCACTGAGGTTTCCCTGCTAAGGAACCGGCCCTGTTAGACACGGGAGAATTCCACCAATCCGCAGAAGAGCTGCTGCTCCCTCTCCTCTTGGGCCACAGGAGAAATCCCCACCTCATCCCGACTCTGGAGGGCCAACCAGCCTGGAAAAGTCCAGGCCAAGCAAGTCTGCCTCCCCTCTGCTGCAGCAGGGAAGGTCTCGGCTGGCCAAGGAGGTGACCGAGCGGATGGCATCCAGGCCTCTAATGGCACCAACCTACAAGGGTCTTGTGCTTTGGGTTTACGGTGAGAGCCTGCCTGCAGAGGAAGCCCCGTCTCTCTTTCTCCCCTGGCCCAGCCGCCTTCAAGCACACCCGCTGCCCCAGCCCAGAGGGGGACTGAGGACCAGAAGGGCCTGGTCACTGTCCCAGGCCCCCACGAGCCCCTTCCGATGGAGGGCTGGACAGAAAGATGACACCGAAAAACCCCTGGACACCTCACCTGGGGGTGGGGCCATGGAGGCCACGGTGTTGGCGGGCTCCACCTGGAAACTGCTGCCTGTCAGGAACTGCGCCTCGGAGCCTGGGCTGTTGTCCACCTTCAGGTTCTGGGCCAAGTAGTACCGATAGAGCTCAGCTTCGGCGGGCAGGCTGCCCAGGCCCAGGTGCTGGCTGGGCTGCACTTGGCTCATGTTCTGCTGGAGCAGCACCATGTTGTGCATGTGCTTCTCGCTGGTCATGTGGATGCGGAGGTTCCTGGCGACGTTGGTCTCGTAGTCACACACCTCACATCGCCAGGTAGGTTTACTTTTTGGTTTGGTGGGGGAGGGGGCCCCACAGCCACCACCACTATTGCTGGTGGTGGCCGTGGCCACGGCCCCCGCAGCGTGGCTGAAGCCTTTCTCCCCGCTGCCGTTTTGCAGGTTCTGCATGTTGTTGAGATGCTTGTCCGACTGCATGTGGATGCTGAGGTTGCCTTTGGTGGTGGTGGAGTAGTTGCAGACCTCGCAGCGGAAAGGCTTGTAGCCACAGGTGTAGCTTTCACCCCGGGCGAGCCGAGGGTGCAGCTGCCCCGACTGGCAGAAGGCACAGGCCCCTCCCGGCTCGGGGTGCTTCTCCTTCATGTGAGCCTCCAGCGTCTGCTGGTACTTGTAGTGCCAGTTGCACTTGGGGCATTTGAGGGTCTTGCAGGAGTTGCGCGAGTGCATCATGGTCATGTGGCCCCCCAGGGAGCGCGAGGACCCCAGGACGGTGTCACACTTGGGGCACTCCACCCCTCCCCCCGAGGGGCACTCCTCACCCCCCAGCTCACAGAGGGGTCCTCCGTGCTGGTGGTGGGAGGCGCAGAGCCCGTCCTCCCCCTCGAGGCTCTCGCTTGGTTCTGGACCCGGGGCATCGTCTCGGTTGGCCCTTTCCTCAGCCATGTCCAGCCTCTGGCTGCCCTCCCGATTAAAGCTGAAGCAACTCCGCCTGTCTGCACCATCAAAGGCAAAGGAAGAAGCCGAAGGAGAAGCCGAAGAAGCCAAGCTCCTCGACACCGCCTGGGGCCCGCTAGGCCTCAAGGGAGATATGCTTTGGTTTGAGAGAGCAAGATCCTCCCGCCTGCTGTCACTGCTTGGCCCCAACCTGGGCTCAGCAGGGGCAGGACGTTTCTCCCCCGGATCCTGCTCCAGCCTGTGTGGAAACAGCCCTTTGCCACCCCCGCCAGCCTCTTCCTCCTCTTCCTCCTCCTCCTCCTCCCCCCCAGCCAATTCCGCCTCCGCCAAGCAGCTGCCCTGCGCATCCTTGCTGGCCTTCCCCGGGCCTTTCCCTTTGGAGGAGGCAGGAGGGCTGGAGGTGAGGGCAGCCAGGGGAACTGAGGTAATTGGGGTCTTCAGAGCTGAGCTCGTCAGCCCCCCCAGGTTTAAGAGGCCCCCCGGGGCTACGAGGTCTGCTGTCTGGGGCTGGTCGCTTGCGCTGGCAATCCCAATCTGGGAGCCCCGCTCCCCTTCCACGCAAATCCCACTGAATTTGCCACAGAAACTGTGTCCGGGGCTTATGAGGTCAGTTGCGGAAACTAAAGGGTGTGGAAAGTTTTGGTTTTTTGGTTCCAGAAAGCTTACAAGGGGCTCCTTGTCTTTGCCTATCCCTTGGATGATCGCGGAGATGTTCTTATTGCTAAGAATTTTCCGCTCCTCCTCGCTCAGAGTTATCCGATGGTCGTGCACCGCGTGGGTCACAAACGAGCGGACGAAGCCGAAGGAGAGCTTGCACAAGAAACACATCAGGATGGGCTTCCTCTTCCCGTAGAGGACAAAGCTATCAAATTTGGACATGTCCACATTGTTGGGAACATCTTTGGATACGCAGGAACTTTTGGCAGAACCGTCGCTGTTCAGGTAATCCCGGTTGCTTCTGTGGCGCACATCAAAGACACGGAAGCTGTGCAGGACGGGGCTGACCCCCACCAGGGTGGAGGTGCTGGGAAAGGCCTCGGTGGGGCCCTCAAACCACTTCCCAAAGGAGGCGGCAATGTGGAAAGTGTTGATGATTTGTGGATAGACTTGGGGCACGGCTGTAACAGGCTCCCCTGACTTAGCTCCTGGGATGGCGAGAGCAGAGTTTGCCAGCAGCTGACTGAGACTTTCTACAATGTAGGCTGAGCCGTCTGGCTGGTAGATGATCTCTCCGGCCAGATTCTCGATATCGCTCTCCTCGTCCTCCTCCTCCTCCTCCTCCTCGCCGCCAGTGTTGCTCCCGCAGTCCTCTTGCGGGGGGAGCAGAGGATGGGCACTGGGACAGGGGGGCTCCATGTAGGTCTGCAAACTGGCAATTGAGGCCGCAAAGTCATTACAGCTGACCTCCTTGCTGCTGGGCTCCGGGCTGCAAGCAGAGGCTGCCGCACCTCCTGGCAAGCGCTCACACAAGGAAGCCGGCTCATGGCCTAGCTGGCCGGCTGCCGGGGACTCTGTGCCATCAGGTGCAGCGGGGAGGTGGCGAGCACTGCCAAACTCGGTCCACTGCTGGTGCTGAGGCCCAGCACCTCCAAGGTCCTTGCCCAGGATGACCGGCAGATCACAGCCTTCCATCATCAGCCCTGCAGCCAGCGTTCATCGCACCTGGCACGTCCGGGACCTAAAAGTGGGCAGAGGGAGAGACAAAGAAAGACGCTTGTCAGCCAGGCCTGGCCACTCCACACACGCAGCCCGTCTTGGCCCCAGAAGCAACTCGCCTGCCCCACAGCCAACACTTGGCCAGAAAAGGAAGCGGACCCGCTCCATTTCCTGCAAGAAGCCCCCCACCCCGCTTCAGAGCCCCTCAAGGGCTGACCCAAGAATGTCTCTCAGCGAATGGTCCAGAGACCATCCAGTCAGTGATCCTCCCACCCAGCACGAGTTTCCTCCTTCCCACACCAAGGGGAGCCGCCCCTCAAGGTTCCTCTGAAATCCACCGCCCTGACGAGCCCTACGGTGCCTGCTGAGTCCATTCTCAGGCACCTTCTCAGCCACACAGAGATCCACCCTCTCAGATTTGAGCTCTGCAGAAGGGCAGGAGAGGCCTCCCGGGGCCAGCCCTGCCCCTCGCCCCAAACTCTCGGGCTCCCTTAGGTCCACAGGAGGGCCTGGTCCGCAGCTCAACAGCCATGAGCTCATGAGAGGCCGGGGGTGGGGGCTGGCAAGGGCTGCCCCGTCTTGCCTTGCATTTCCCTCTGGGGCCAGGGGAGCAGGGAAGCTGTCCCAGCGCTGCCCTTGGCAGACGGGGCGGGGGGTTGATGGAAACAATGACCTCTCCCACCTTGAGAGCTACTTAATGGCGCTTTTCGTCTAGGTGTGACTGGCCAATTCGAGATGCGAAGGCGAGGGCCCAAGGCTGCTTCCCGGCACAGCTGAGCCACGGAGGCCTGACTGACAGGCTGGACAAGGGGGCTGGCAGGGCAGAGGAGGAGGAGGAGGAGGCGGCAGGGGAGGGGGTTAACCGCCTGATTGCAAAATCAATGTCATAAATGCTTGGTAAGTTACAGGAACAAGCGGGAAGAGGAGGCCGCGATTGATAAAGGGCTGCGGCTTTGATGCTGCACTGGGGACTTGTTTATCGACAGACAGGCCGATCTCCCCTGCAGGCCAGGCCAGGCCAGGCCGGGCAAGCCGGCAAATGCTTCCCAATTAATTGGGGCTCTCTGGCCGCCCTCCCTGCTCTGCCAGGGCCTGGCAAAGCCCTTCAGTCACCGGCAGAGCCACGCTCTGCCAACACACACACACACACACACACACACACACACACACGGCCTGCACCCAGGATTGTGCCCAGGGAATCCAGCCTCTCGAAGGAGCCCTGCCCTGGACTCCAGATCCCATACGTTGTTCCGGGCATCCCCCGCCCCACCCCCTCACAGTCGTTAAGGAAAGGTAGCTCTTACACAAGGAGGCAGGTCGATCGGCTCACTGTCTGTAAACATCTTTCCCGTAAAATCAATGATGCTCAGTTAGAGAGCACCGAGACTGGGAACCCCGCAGCCCAGCCCTGCTTGGCAGCGCCCTCTTATCCCAAAGTGTCCCCCACTCCGCTCAGGGAGATCTGGCTCCCTGGGGGGCTCCTGGATGAGACCTGAAGGGCCACCTCCAGCTACAGCACCAAGGCCGAGCGAATTCACTCTTTCATTGTTGAAAGTATACCCTGCCTTTCTGTTTATTCCAAAGCTCAAGGGAGATTGCAATAAAAAATACAAAGTATAAAACTAAACAAAATATAAATATGGTTAATAAATACATACGTACATTTTAAAAATCAATTTGGTCCAAACCAACATTAAAATTAAAACTAGTAATTCTGCCAAAACGTTGCTACAACTTTAAAAGCACAATAATGACGTGGGAAAATACTCGAACAAAGCTGAATATCATCCATCCATCCATACATACATACATAGTTTTATATACAATATATATATGATTGATGGCACAGATTATTAGACTGGATTTGGCATTTTTCCTCCGACTATCAAATCCTTCCCAAGGACCTGGGATAGGTAGTATTGTCGATTAATGGGATTAAAACAGGATGTAAGTTGTTCTAAGTCAGGGGTCTTCGAACTTGACAGCTTAAAGACTTGTGGACTTCAACTCCCAGAATTCCTCTTCCAGACATGTTAGCTCAGGAATTCTGGGAGTTGGAAGTCCTCAAGTCTTAAACTCGCCAAGTTTGAAGACTCTTGTTCTAAGTAAAGCAGCCTTTTGCAATTGACTGAGGCCAATTTTGTCTTTGTTTTAAATGTTTGCAGACTTGCAATGGGTAAACTCCTTTCCTTCCAGTGGATCTCCAACTGCTGGCCCTGCTGGCTCAGCCAACTGTCCTGAGTCTTTTACCCAGGATCCCCTCCGAACTCAAGTGTCAGGGAACTTCCTTCAAGAGGAATCCTGCTGATGCTCCAAACCCTCCTTCAAACAAAAGAAGCCAATAACGTTGGAAGGCTCTGCAGTCCAGACTAGCTGAATGGTCAAAGGAAGGAACTCAAGCCAAGCCAAGCTGATCGACCAAGCCTGAGTCTGGCAGGTAGAAAAAAGGTTAGCTGCCATGAACAACCGAGGCTCAGCTACAGGAGGCACTGTGGGCTACAGCCTGATCTTGACACTCCCCAAAAGGGAACAAAGCCAGGGCTTAAGAGAACGCGCAGCTCCATCCTTCCCTCCCCCAGACTCCCCAGAGTTTCCAAACCAACATGCTTCTCTCGTTGGTCAAGGAGATGGACTGAACATCAAAGCCAGCACTAAACCAATCCATTTTGTTCCAGAAGACAGAATTAGCAGGCTGCTTGTGAAACAGGACGAATGGAGCTCCATCTACTAACACAGGAAGTAATTCACAAATGATACACCTACCATCTACTGAACTGTTAAAAAATGCAAATAAGCCAAGGAATGTAAATCCCTCCTTGACCATGAGGCCACCACCAGCCCAGATAAGTAACCAATAAGATCTTCATGTACAGGGAAAGTGGGGAGCCTCTGTGGAGACCCAGGGGACTGGTACCTGGGCAGTTAATTCATTTGTGTGTCCCCTCCCCAATTCAAAACAACAGAACATACCCACTCTGACCACTAGCTTGTCAACCTCTGGAACCATGGTCTCAACCATGGCATCTGCAAGGTGCAGTTGTTCTTCCTGGTTCTTTGCACCTTTTGGAAAGGAACCAGCAGGAACCGTGCTGCTTGGAGAATGAAAAACACCAGAATCACATTGCTTGGAAAGCTGGAAAGGAGAGTCAAGAAAAGACGTAAGTTGTGGCAAATTCCTCTGACCAGGGACACCAATCAAGAACCCATTTTCCATCAGCCGGAATTTGGGATGACTAGCAACAGTTCATGGGATCAATTCAATAGGCTCACATCAGAGGTAAATATGATCTAGCGGGAGATAGAATTTTAGGCCGTGTCATGAATAAAACATGAAATTGTGGGAAGTAATTGTTCCATTCTATTCAGATTCCTTCAGACTCAGCTTCTACTTCTCGTTCCACTTCTGGACGTGAACGTAAAGCCAGGCTGAGATAACAGCAACAAGGACAGTTGGAAAACTAAAAGAAAGCCCTCAAAGCCAGACTGAGGAAGACGGGTATGCCTAGCCGTGACACCAAAGACTGGAAAGAGGAGCCGGATTTTGTCCCTCTCATGCCGAGCGCCAGACACAAAACAATGGATTCAATTACTGGAAGGCAGGTGAGGCCTGGGTGTTAGGAAATTTATGAGCTTCGGTTTCCTCTTGATAAGGTAACAATCAATTCCACTCCACAGAAGTAGAGAGAGGCCTCTGCCAGGAAGGCCTAAACTTGGATCCCTGCTGGGCAATTGGATGCAGGGGTGTCAAACTGGATCCCACTGTGGGCTATGTCAGGGTTTTGTTTGCCTTTGTGGGGCCGAGGTGGACAGGGCCAGCAGAGATCGATCCCTTGACATCTCTGGGACAGCCCCGCAGGACAACTCTGGGCCAATCACGGGCTGGATTCGGCCCACAGGTCTTGTGTTTGACATGTCTGCACTAAGAGTAAGTGGCCCATTCAAATTCTAGTATTCCAGCCATGCTTGGGTTGCATTTATCATTTTCTTCAATAAGAAGCAACAATTTCAGTCAACTAAAAGTGGGAAACAAAGGGAAGAAAGATTCAACACCAACAGAAGCAAATAAAAGTAACTCATCCTTGGTGCTCCCTGAATTTGTTTGCTTGCAAATGTTTCATTACCCAACTAGGTAACATCACTGGTGGTGCTCAGTGCAGTGCACTGATGATGAACCGTCCATGCAAATAACAGATGTGAGCTGCACAAGTGATTTCCCCAGCCACAAATAAGCTAGGATGGAGCAAGGATGCCTCAGGAACTAGATCAAATTTGCTTCTTGGGGCAGGAGAAAATACCCAGTTGAGCAACCCTTGGCCTGATTCTTCTCCTTCTCATAAAGGCTGGACAAAACAAACCCTTTTTACTGGTAAAAGGCATCGGCGGCAAAGGAAGGATCAATAAATGTCTGGCAAGGCTTCATGGTGGTATCAACTCAGCCAGGGAATCCAAGGCCTTCAAGCTGTGGACTCCCCCTCCAGAAGCCCCGTCAGAAAGTCCACTGGGTCAGGCTTCCGGTGGCATTTCCATTGGTGGCGGATAGGAGGCAGTGATCGTGCGTGGCTTCGATCCGTGTTTACCTCGTCAGAGGGTCCCAAACAGGACCGGATCCACCTCAGAGGGGTGGGAAAAGAGGGGGAGACTGCCAGCTGGGTCGAGGGGAGCCGCATCTCCCTTCCCTGGCTAGGTATACTCCCTTTGAAGTCTTTAATGACTGCCCTGAAGACGGGAAGCTATTCAGGAAATAAGATTGTGCTGGAACAGAGAAGCGGACAGCATGGAGACCAGGCAAACTAGCTGACAGAGGGACACTAAGGTACCCCAGAATTAAGCTAAAAAGACATTTTAAGGAAGATAGATAGTAAAAGTGACAACCAAAGAAGGGGCGGGGGGGAATTGACAGCTGAAAGTGACTTTGAACTTTGAAAGGAGCTTAATTCAAGGAGAAAGCCAGAAGAAGATACTTGTTTAAATTGAAGATACTTGTTTAATATGATTTTGGCACTAAATAGGCATATTTAAAAGCTGGACATGAATGTGTCAAAAAGAAAGAACAGTAATTGATAATTGGATTTATTGGATTTTTGGAATTTAAAAGCCTT